GAATTGAAAAAATGAAAGAAAGCCAAGGATCTCCATAGTGCTTGAGAAAGTCGATAAGGGGGAACTCCCCCCCCAAAAAAATTCTAACCCAATGCCACCCAACAGTCTATGATTCCTCCCCCTCCAGCTCCATCCCTAAAATTAGCCTCCATTGATCCAGTAGAACCAATGTAAAACCCCCAACAGCAATTCCACCTCGTCATCCCAGAAAGTTATCAACACTCTGAAGCCTCATCCATTCTCACTCAAATCTCAAGCCCTCTGGACATTAAAAGATTTATTTTCAACAACCTTCCACCTCTTGTTCATTACATCCATCCTCTACATGCCATGTCGCTGGCCGCATGCAACTGCCCCACTTTGGGTCACTCTTCGTTCACTCCTATCTCTAGCCTCTTGCTAAAAAAAATATGACAAACTAATGTGCCAATGTGAACCACAGGAATGAAAAACAAGTTCCTTTTTGGTATGTAGTTGTCCAGATGATCAGTTTTCTTTCCTTAATTCATAGAACACTCTTTTCTATTAACTGCCTAAAAGAATTTATATCTACAGTGAATTCCAAATTAAAAAACATAAATTCCTTCAGAATAATCACTGACTTCCTATTTTTTACAAGTATTTTTTCTATATTCGTTTCTAGGCAACCAATCAAATAAATCCTCTTAAGCATCAAAGCTAAATTCAATGTTAAGAATGCACGATACAAGCTACATCTAAATCAGTAGCTTTTACTTTTTCTTCTGGGGAAAGGTCTATTCAAATACAAGCAGATGGTTAATAGATGCTATCCATGGTTATTTAGCACCAACTGAATAGAGGATGTCAATTTATATAGTTTTAATCAAACAGCACAATTACTTTAACTTTAAGGGGGAAATACCTTGTAGAGGCTTAAGACCTCTGTTGTCAACTTGGTTGTGTCGTACCATGCGCGTCGATTCACTACTTGAGTAATTTCCGTTCGCAAAAGGGGACGAACCAAATGCTTCTTCCCAAGTTTAGTGTGTAAGAGTATCCTTGCAAAGGCAGGAACTACCTCTCTTGACAAACTAACATTAAGTAACACCACCCCTTTGATTGTGACCTGGATCAACAACAGAAGTAAAAGATGTCACAGAAACTATAAGCAAATTCAAGTCAAGAAGGCATCAAGGGTTGTCATATCCGTCATACAAAGCCAATTCATTTAGATAGTCAGTAATATAATGCCATTGCTTGCCCAATGAAATGAAGGCAAGCAAAAAAAAAAGTAATATTTACAAGATTTTTCCTAAATCTGATATTCCCTTCGGAGAAGCCCCAAATATAATGCCTTCCATATCTACACATAGGATTAAGGATTGCCAGTATCCCTCATTCAAGAAATTCAAATTTAGTAGATATGTAAAGCACCGCTAAATTAAAATCAGTTTCCTTGCATTAAACAAAAAATTGCTTATAGCCACAAATTCCACTTTCATAGAGAATTTGAAACTGGCTCTTCAAGCAGTAGTATATCAAACTCCTACTATGCAATGTCCTTGCTAATTCCCCTTCTTCTCCCGCATCTAGATTTGGCTAAGCTGCATAATTTGATTATCCATTTTTTTAAAAATGACATAATTTGATTATCCATAGAAAGTTCACTCACATTGGAAGAACTTATTGATGCTTGCACTCTTTGTGCAGCTCTTAGGGCAACCAAACCTCCATCATCATGACCAACAAGTACAACTGAAGAAAATCCCATCTCGGAACAGAAAGAAAGAAGCAAGTCAACCTGAAAACGATTAAAAAACGAAATCAAACTTCACGTGCATGGTCAAGTCCAGAATTCATGGGATCAATATTTGATGTGAAGATATTTTTATGATGAAAAGGCCAGAAAAACAAAGTTTATGATCTTGCCAAAACTTCAAGGTCTACAACGTGTTTTGTCATCAAGTCTGCAGATAACACTTTCTACAGAAACGTGCATAACTTCCATTTACCAATTGAACCGTGAACATTATTTCTTTTTCTATATATTTTCAACATTCCAGACTTCAAAACAAGTGCAAAATTTTACCTGACTTTCAAGCTTGTAAGGGTTGGGTAAGTCTCTTTCTTCCCAATCTCTTCTCCGTGGCCTAGAAGTCAATCCCCAGCCAGGCCGATCAAAAGCAGCAACTGTGCAACCAAGCTGCCGAGCCAATACTCCCATCACATGCCTCCACGAAAACACTCCTCCTCCAAATCCATGCACTAATATTACACCAAACTGGCCATGTCCATCAGTATCATTCTCTAAAGCCAAAGAGTTCAATTTATTCATGTCATCTTCCTCGCAAGCATCATCCAGGTTCAAGACAGGGATATCTTCAGAGAGAACAGGAGAAGCTGCTGAACCATCCAGAAGAGGGGTATATAAAGAGGAGCTATGAAACTGATTGCTGTAGCTCCTGTGAATGTGGTGACACTGAGTTTTTGATAACATGCTTAATGCTTTCCTATCAAGCTTCAGCCTTCCGGCAGCTGTTTCTGGGGTGCTATAGGTGGAGCTGGGTTCACGAAAGGTGGCTGATGATAATGAACGGGGAGGTGAACCAGGCAAGCAAAGTTTAAAATGGACAGTCAGCCCTTGAATTGAAATGAATAAACTGTCAAGATCAGCTAGCAATCTGACTGGGAGCTCCCCTTCATCATGACCTGTCTCTGAAGGTTTTCTCCTGATTTCACTGTCACTTTTCGGGGTTTTCCCTATTGAGGGAGTGGGAGATCGTGGGACCTTCTGGTAGCCAGAGAAAACATTTTTACACGAAAGTACCTGCAATTTAAGTAATTAAAAAAGTACGCCGATTTATTAAATATCCATACCTCCCAAGAGCTACAGTTGAGTGTTTTGAAGTAAATACAATGCAGTGAATAAAAAATTTCTCAGAAGCGAACCACGAATTTAGTGGCAAAAAAAAAAAAAACAAAAACAACGAACTTCCCCACTATTCAACCGGAAATTTTGCTTCTATTAAATGTATAGAGTAAAGCAAGATATTGACCACAAAACGGAAGGGACGAAGAGAACAAATAGTGGGCTTACTGCTTCTGGGTCAACTCTATGATACATGAGCTTCCTCCGTGCTCTGCAACTGGTTCTATAAGCAACCACAGTATGGCCAAGGGCAAAAACTACTGACGAGAGAAACAAGACAGGCATGCCCCACGACTTTTTAAGATGCAGCTTTTGCCTCGAGAGAGAGGAGGAAGCTTCAGCCTCGAGTTGGGAGTTCGCAGTAAAAACACAAGCCTTAACTGAAAGGAGAAGAATCGAAATAAAAGAGCAGAGCGTGACAGTTCCAAGGTAAGGACCGTGCGAGAGAGCTGGGCCATCACACATCGAGTAAACACCTGTTATGCAGTAAGTGAACACATTAATTCAGCAGAAATTGAACCGCAATCATCAGTCTCATGTTTAGTACAGAACTGACAGAATTTGACGCCATAAAGAACGTCCTTCAATTTTCACAAACAAAAAAACGTACGTCAAAATAAATTCTCTTAAAACGGAATGAGAAATCTGGCCAACGAAAAGATTATTACAACTAGAACCCAAAGATTACTTCAAAACATTTTGATCAAAAGCAAAAGAAACGCGAAACAGGACTCAGATAAGTCCTCCTCATACACAGCGATATACTCTAATTTTTCTTAAAAACATCAAGAACTGTTTATTTTCTTTCTTCTCTCCGAACTGAATTTCCCACCGGCCAAGCACATATTTCCCTGACTCCCGCGGGGTAATGTATCTTCGCTTCATTTCACAAACCAGCAACATGCTAATCATTCACAGAACTTTGACGAAGTAAAGTTAAAAACACGAAAATTTTAAAAAAGATTCAGAAAACTAAAAGGAGAAAAAAGAGCGAAGAAAGAAAACAAATCAAAATAGAAATGAAAGACGACGAACGATGATATACGTACAGATAATTATGAGAGATCTGACGATTGAGACGAGAGGTATATCAGTCAAGGAGCCCTTGAAAGCGTATCGGCGTAAATGCTCCTTTACACCGTAGCACGTGATACACGTGAAGCTCGAAACGAGGACGGACGGCACCAACACGTCAACGAGAGCCACGAGAACGGGCAAAGACAATACGAGCAGCGACGCGACCATCGCGATCATGAAGAAAATCGTCCGTAGGCATCTTCTCGCCTTCTCTACGACCAATAGCCCCTTCGCCATTGGCGCCGATCCTGATCAGATTTCTCCGTTTGGATCGGGTAGATGCAGAACTCCTCTTCCCTTATACTTCAATCGATGCTGACGCTATGCTTCTAGCAATAAGAAAATCGAGATGAACCATAGCATCTAGGATGGTAATCAAACGGTTATCATTTCTCCGTTATTGACTGATCAAACAGCCGTTATTTTGCTCTTTCCTTGTCTATGTCGGAGTTGAAACCCTAGCAGAAAGGAGCGACTGGGAGTCTATCAGCGGAGGCATCTGACATGGCGGCTGCTTATCGTCCATTCCTCCAGCGATACAAGGACAGGAACTAAAATGATGATTTCAATGTAGCCGGAGGTGTTTATTGCAGAAGCAAGAGTAACGCCATTGACAGATTTGTATAAGGTTTGTAGAAGATGAAGGGTGGATGAAGATGGAAAAACTGGCTTGATTTTGAAAAATCGAAGCTCTAACTCTCTGTTTCCTCTTTTTGAATGTGTTATGAAATATTTTGATTTGGCAAGGGAAGTATCATTTCTTGTATTTATTTATATTTTGGAGATTTTAGTTTTGATTTTTTTTCCATAAAATAAATAAATAAATAAATGTTTCCTTGGTTTGGTTGTTTAATTAAGAGTGTAATTATCAAACCATATTGGCAGCGGGGAAATCATATTTCTTTTTTCTTTTTTTTTTTTCACCTGACACCACTTGATTCCGGCCTGTTGCGTACTCAGCAGCTTTTTACATTATGGACAATTCTACCCCTTGTTTTTTATCAAATTACGATATTTTTATTTTTACATATGAATTTAACAATAAAATATTACATATTCTTAATTATATTTAATATTTCTCATTGTATTTATTAATATATTTTTTTATAAAAAAAGGTTAAAAATAAAATGGAATTTAAAAAAAAAGGGGGGGGCAAAAGAGGAATAAAGAGGTTTGGAAGAGCAGGCGGGAGGCCCGAGGAGGTAACCGTTAGCGTGGGGCACGCTTAGTAGGCTGGAGAATTTGGAGGTGGTGGTGGTGGTGGCGGTCGGGACCAGAAATCACAACACTACGGCATACGTCAACATCGAGATATGTGGACCCAACTTTGTCTCCAGCCTGTTCTTCCACGTGGCATCTCTCTACAGCCTGTCTTCCAAATTTATTTTATTTTTATTTTATTTTACTTACCACCTCCTTGGTGAGTCGGTGGACCCCGCGTTTGGTGAGAATCAGGAGAGGCTATTTTTCTCCCTCAAAATTATTTTCATCAAATTAAAATTAAAAAATTATTTAAAAACTCCAATACTACATGTACATAACACATTAAAAGTGGATTTTTTGGTTAAATTTCAACAAAAAAAAAAATCTCATATTTAAAATTAATTATGGAAATTTCTAAAATAATTTATGGAATTTATGCATTTTTAGTAGTGCATTGTTTGTACTCCAATGTCAACTTTAGTTGTTCGTTTGTACTTCAATGCCTATATTTGTTGTTAGTAGTTGAATTTTTTTTTAACTCGATATAATCAAATTTTAAATTAAGTACTCTAATCATATTTTAATGTATTATTTTAACTTTAATAAGAATATACTTAAAATTAAATTTATATTTTCGGAAATATTTTAATTATGACAATTAAGATTTTCAAATAAATTTTATACTATTTTTAGAATTAATTTGTCTCTAAAAAAAGAATGATATTGAGAAATTGTCAAAATATGTACGAGTATCAACCAGTGACATATAAAAATTATCTAGTTATAAATGAGATTTATATCATGAACACTTGGTCACTATAGATCTAAAAATATATGAATAAAATACTTACAACCTAACTTTTTCTGTGTTTTAAAATGACATATAATTTATTTTATATAATTTATATTATTTGTACATTACTATTTTTATAAAAGTCTTGATAAATATTTACTATTTTATTTGACTTATACATGACTAAATAGTTGAAAATTTATATTTTATTTAAAAAAATTTTAAAAAAAAGTTTAAGATTTAAACACGAGTTACAAAATTTAATAACAAGCAATAAGGCTAAAGTTTCATGCATTTATTATACCAATTATATTCATTCCCAAAATGGAGTAAGTATAAGGAGGAAAAGATTATAATTATATTAGTAGGATATAAAGAGGATAAATGTTATTAAAGTCTTGTTGAATCCAAGTAAGATATTGTATAGTTAATCTTTTAGTCTATAAAAGTGTCTCAATTAAAATGAACAATAGTCTATTTTTATAAGCAAGAAGATTTTCTCAGCCGTAATGATATAGGCAGAAAATTACAAAGCCAAAGTTAAGTATTATTCTAATCAAGTTTTTTACACGAAAAAATTGTCTTATTTTAACAAATATATGACTTTTTTTCAAAAATATAGATCTTCGAATCTTTAACTGATCTAAGACAAAAAAAAAAAAAAGTTTTGTATATCAAACTAGCTCACATTAATACCATAAGGAACCACAAAATGAGTAATTACAATGGTTAAGGGTCTTAATCTAAACTATAAGATGGTAACTTTCATAACACTAAAATTTTATGTTTGGGAGTTATAAGATAAAAAGAAAATAAATTATATAAAGCGATAAAGAGAAGAAAAATCATGGTATTTTCCTTTATTTAGCTCGGATGTTATAAAAAACGTTGAGAAAATAACTTACTGTTTTTCCATTGTCATAATAAAAAAGATAAAAAATTTGAGGGTCTAACACAGTCTCATTACTTAGAAACATTTTACTATCCTCATACATGAAACTAGCTTAGATGTATGGGCATATTTCCTAGTCTTTTCTGAGGACCTAAGCATGTTTCATATCCTAAAAGTGATTTGGGGACCTATACACGTTTAGATCGAAAATTAAGGGTGATTTGGACACCTGGTTATGGTTTTAAGATTAAAATTTAAGTTATAATCTCATAAGGATATAATATGACATATTAGGCAATAATCACATCCAATCAATAAAAACAGTAGTTATTCATAAAAAAAATTATCGTAAAATTTTGAGAGGGCAACGTTATAAAAATATTGCAATAATAAAGACAAAATTTTTAATACTCAAAAAGTTCTTAATGGTATGATAAGAAGCATGTGAAATTTGTTATCCAATTTAATATTGGTACATTTTGCATTTACCAATTGAGATAAAGCTTCTAATATTGGATGTATATATATATAATATAAAAATGAATAGGCACATAGTTATTAAGGAATGAGTCCATTAACCTAAATTACATAAATATTTTCAACACTTTCTTGTCTAGAAAAAGATGTATTAAGGCAATAGCATAAACCACTTATTAGACTTGAGGCTACCATGATTAGATTGAGTGTTCTACCATTCTTATGTTATTAATCTACATAACTCATTCATAAACGATATAGAACTTGTTTTTTCCTTATGGTCACAGGGTCAAAGAGGTTGATGAGTACCAATAAATGATATGTTGCTCTACAGTAATAAAAGGATATGTCCTAAATGATTGTTGGTGCTTAATCCATGATTTATTGGCTAAAGGTGTGATTAGTTAAAAAAAAAAACTTCTAAAGATCAATTAGAATAAATTGACCAAGTATATTACATACAATAGATAACATAAGGTTTGAATTTTCCATACTTCATAGAAAATGTAACATGGTAGAATTAGTTTACAATAAGCCAAACATTTATCCATAATATGCTTACAAGTTAGATACCACAACATGATAGATGGGATATGTTCTTATACGATTCCATTATGTCAAGTATGCATATTGAAATATTCCTTTAATTAATTAATGATTGTGGAAAAGTAAATATATTTTTCACATTTGTTTAGTCATCACTATATTACGATATATAAACACATTAAGAACTCCTTCCATCATAATATGTCCTAAACAAAAATTGTTTCGATAGTATGTTAAACCTTGTATCATAAAATATTACATAAGATAATTAGTTTAGCGTAAGTTAATTAATTCAATTAAAAGCACTTTTTCAATTTATTAAATCTTTGGCCGAAGAACTTTTATGGGTTAAGTAGGATAAGTTACATAAGACATATGCTCTCTTATTTTGGAGTGATTGATTGCTTATTAGTGTTTAATCAACTTCATAAGCTTCTAATTAAATTAATAAAATTTACCATTATAGAAAATTTCTTACGATATTTTATTAGTTGTCATTATTATAATGTTTATAAATGTATCTAAAAATTGGTGACATATGGGTGCCAAGAAACAATAGTTGAGAAAGACCTAACTACATATGACATTACATAGTAAACAATACTATAAATGATTATTCCCTAAAATGACTTATTCAATTTTTTATATTTTTATACGGGTAAATGGGGGGAATCAAAGTGAGGCGCAAATTATCTAATTCGTACTTACTAAAAATCGATTGTAGTTAGAAGTTCAACACGTAGAGTACTATTTTAACCCTTACTTTTACCTAATTTTGATGCTTAATTTTTTGTCTTTTTCTCGAACCTATAATCAATTTTAATTTATTTTATTACCCAATTATTCTATTTTTAATTTATTAAATATTTTATCAGAATAAAATACTACCTTTGTTTGTCAAATAAAATATCCTACGTCTACGGAGGCTTATTTTACATACCCTATTTTATTTTATTAATTAAAATAATTATTATAAATTGTATATAAAATTTTAAATTAATAGAAGGTGTATCCCTTTCAAGAACTTGGAAAAGGATAATGTGAAAAGTGAGAATAAAATACAGAACACGATAAAACGACAGCGTAAATTCAAAACCTATGCCTTAGGTTTTAGGTTTAATAAATTTATTGAATTGATTTATTTTAAAAATAAAATTATTTGATTGGTGGGTAGTGACTAAGAAATTAATTTTCACATGTGGGTGAGAATCCAATACGATATTTGTGTAAACATACTTTGACTATAAGATCCGTGCGGCTGCAAATTGATATTACTATAAGGCTCGATTTCTTAAGTTAATTACATATATTTTATTTAATATATTAATTTAATATAAATGTTGGATCGATAAGTAAATTATATATTTTATGTGTTCTTATTAGTATTAGTACGTTGTGTTAATTATATTTTTGTTAAGATATTATGTTGTTATTATTATTATGTTAGTTTTACTTGATTAATAAAATACATTAGTTTTTAGTAAAAAAAATATAGATAAAAAAATTAATATTCTAAAATCTTGTTCAACATTAATTTTTCTTTGATTGTCATAAGTTATTTGCGATGATATTTTGATACATTTGCAATATATAACATAGTAAAATGTGACAAATTATGAGCAACTTATGTTAGTGTAAGTAATTTTTATTTTTATTTAAGTATCAATGAGACTCTAATAAATACTTAAATAATTAAAAATATATGGTTTCTACACTATTTATATTTTTTTGTTTAAGTCTTTAATTTTTTTTTGGATCTATATAAATTTTTATACATTTAAAATTTTTCTAAATAAATTTTCAGAACTAACAGAAGGTAAATCATCGTTGATCAATGTCACATGG